AAAAAAAAAAAAACCAAAAAACCCCCACAATGGCCAGAACCTACTCCCAGAGCTTCTGCTTCAGTAGTTCTGGAGTAGAGCTGCAGAATTTGTATTGTTAACAAGGTCTAGGTGTTCTTCATGCTGTTGCTCCAAACTCTGAGAACAAGGTTTATGCATGTAATTTTTACCAGTGCCAGTGCTTACCAGGTTAGCAATTTACTTTCTCTTTCTCTCTCTCTCTCTCTCTGTGTGTGTGTATACAATATACTGTATAGCAAATATATTTGTCAAATGATTAATGAATAAGTGGGTTTTGCTTTAAGGGACTCAATTTTCCTTTATGCCACACATTACAGTGTCCATCACTGATATTGTGGTATTAGATTCCTATCAACGGGATAAGGCATCTACAGAGTCAAGTTCTGGATGTATAAGTCCCAGAGTTGGAGCTGGGGTTGTAGGTCCCTCTGGGATGGGGGTCTGATAAGAAGCATAAGCTGAATCAGACAACCATGAGCCCAGGTCATATGTACTCCCTGTTGTCCTCCAGAAAGGACTTCCTCCTTTCCTCTACAGAGCATGATGGTCTTAAGGCACGTCTCCCTTGAGAAAGGGCTCTTCTCTGGGATAATTATTGCCAGGGAACTGTCCCCTTTGTGTGCAAAGATAGAGAAGAAGAGGCATCTATATCTCTCCTGTCCCTGCCAGCCTCTACCTTCATGCTGTCATGAGCACCCATACCTTTAGAAACAATCAAGCACCACAGAGTCTGGCTCAGATGTTTCCTTTTGTACTGCTTCAAAAACTAGGAAACAAACAATTGAGTCCTAGAAGGTGAGTGTACACTGTGTAAAGTTTGCCCATAAAACCTCCACTTCCTTCCTTTGCCCCTTCTTCTGGTTCCTCAGAACAACATGGATGTGATGATGGCCCCAAACTGGATATACTGCTAATCCCAGCCCTAAAGACCTTAACACCAAAATGAAGACACAGAAACTATCTCCTTCATTCTCTCATTCTTTTTGTTCCTCTTCCCCTGCCTGCCCCCCCCCCCCAAACAGGGACCTGGGAAACTGGGTGGGAAGGGAACCAAAAAGCAGCCCACTTGATCTGAGCAAAGAAAAGTTCAGACTATGAGAACAATAGACCTAAGGTAAACAATGAACAAATGTGAAAATTAGTTTCAGAGTCAAAACAGAATAAAGACCAGGCATTACTTGGAATTCAATTTGTGAGTACATCACCATCTTTATTGTTACGCCAGTTCTTTTGTTTCAATTCCTGAAGCTGCCCATCAGGGGTGAATAACCATGGCTCAAGCTGCTAATCTGCAAACTTTGCCAAACAGTTGCCAGTCACAGGATTGGCCCAGAAGTTTAGGGATTTCTTGACTCCACTTTAATGGGAGTTTACAATCTAGATGGACAGGTAAGATAAACATGCCTGACATGTGAAATAACAATTCAAGAGATGTTGCAAGGTCTTTTCCAAGTGGATGGTGTGGACAATACAGTGACTTCTGAGAAGGCAAAATAGGGAAAGCTCTGTGGACTGGAACAAGGTGAGAAATCTTTAAGAGACATCTTGAAAAGGTGGGATTTCTGAGGTCAGGGAGTCGCAAGGGGTGGTTCATGCGGGAGACAGAGTGGGCAAAGGCATGTAGGCAAGGACACCAAAAGTATGTCCTGTGGAAAAGCCAAGAATACACCCTCTGCCCAGACTGGTCTAGCTGGAAGAGAGGCGGTACAAAGGGGGAGGAGTCAGAGTGAGGCTGGAGCAGTGTCTCAAACACGACTGTGGATCCTGAGATAGAAGTAGTTTGGCCATCACCATTGAGGCAGGAAGGTTCTAAATATCTTTAAATTTCAAATAAGAACACATCAGGAAACTGGCTTCTGAACATTTTCTGACTGAGAGGCAGGGATGTTTCAGAAATATTTCTTTTTAAAAATAGGCACCTTTCGCTCCCTTGTACCCTCCACCTTTCGCTCCAGTACAGGCCTCTTCTTGGTCTCCATATCCACCAAAACCACCGGATCCACAGGCAGCACCACTCTCTCTGCCATGGTTGTAGGCAGCCGGGCCACAGCTGGGCACCTCGGTGTCTAGGTGGCATGGACTGGATTCATGACAGCCTAGGTCTTCTGGGCATGGAACCGGATTGGGGCGGGAGCGCGGACTGGGGTATCCACGGGGCTCCACACACGGCTCTGGACTTGAGCAGGGCGCTGGGAGAGGAATTGGCTCCCGACATGGACACGGTTCTGGGCGATCACGTGGCTGAAGGCATGGAAGTGGCTCTGGGGACTCACACCTCACTGGACGTGGACGTGGAGCAGGCCGTGGTGCCGGGCATGGTTCTGGTCTTGGTTTGGGATATAAACATGGTTCTGAAAGCCGGCGTGGTGGAGGCTGCGGGCGGGGTTCTGGACTCCAGCACCGCTCTGGGCGTGGGCAGGGACGAGGATAGGAACGAGGTGCAGGGAGTGGACACGGACGTGGGTATGGCCGAGGGAGTGGGTATCGCTCCGGTGATGTTTCAGGACATCGGTCAAATCGGCGTGAGGGGCAGAAGCTAGAACCTGGGAGTTCACGTGGGCTCAGATCTGGACAGGAGGCGCCCCGGAAAGAACGTGGGGCGCAGCTCTGGGAGCAGCGTCCGATGGGGGGAATCTGAACACGAACCCTCTGTGGAGGGACCTGCGGGGGACAGCACGGGGAAGAGATCTCTAGCCTGCACTTCGGTCTGCCTCTCTGAGAGCATCCTGCAGTGCGAGTCCCGCTGGTGTAACCGCTGTTGTAGATGGGCTCGGAGCGGCGGGGCGGGGTGCAGTAGCTGCAGCAATCCCAGGAACTCCGGGAGGGCGCCCAGGTGCTGTAGGAGCGCCCCCAGCGGCTTGGAGGCGAACAGCTGCGGTAGGAAGACTGCAGTGGTTGAAGGGGCAGACATCGGCCCAGGCTCTGAGACCTTCGCTGTGCAGTGTAGCTCCCATAGGAGCCTTGGGCCACGCATTGAGGTGCACAGGTTCGAAACGAGGATCGGGACTGGCGCTCCGGTCCACAGCTGCTGTAAGATTCCCGGGAGTGAACCTGGGGTCCACAGCTGCTGTAAGATTCCCGGGACTGGACCTGCGGGCCGCAGCTGCCGTAGAATTGTCGAGATTGGAGCTGGGGGCCACAGTTGCTATAGGATCCCTGAGGAATGCAGCTGCTGTAGGACTCCCGTGAGTACACATGGCGACCACAGCTGCTGGAGGAACCTTGTGCCTGAACTTGAGGGCCACAGCTGCTGTAGGCCCCCCGGGACTGGATTTGGGGCCCACAACTGCTATAAGATCGTGGTCGCGTTTGAGAAACACAGCTACTATAGGAACCCTCGTACTGACCCTGAGTAGAGAATCCTTCCTGAGTCTGACACACTGGGACATATTCTATATAAGTCTGAACAGGCTGCAGAGCTGGACCGGGTATACAGGTCTGAACTGGGTACTCCACGAAACAAGTTTGCGTATAGTAAACTGGAGCACCTTCTACGTAGCACGTTTGACCAGAACCTGAGGCTGCGCCTTGCACATTAGAAACTTCAGACTGGCCTTTCACTTGCGCAGTCTGAGCCTGGCATGGAACTTGGCCCTTCACCTGAGTGGTCTCAGTCTGACACTGAGCTTTGCACTTCCCCTCGGTGACCTTAGACTGGCATTGAGTCTGGCACTTCACCTGGGAAACTTGAACTGGGCATGGTGCTGGGCATTCCACAATTTGCATCTCACAGGGAGCTTGGACCACTACCGGGCCACCTGAAGCAATGGAAGAGGAGGAAGTTTGGAAAGAACCCGTCACACAGCATTGGGGGAAAGCCAGGTAAGACTGAATCTGCTGCTGTTCACACATGGTCCTGATGCAGGCGGTGGATGGGACCTGAGGGCAGAGAAAAGAGTCACAAAGGCGAGATTGTTAGTGAGGAGAGGCCAGGACCCAGAGAAACCACTGTGCTTCTTCCTTTGTCTACGTTGCCTTTCCTCCTTGACCTCTTGAATCACAGACCAGAACCTTAACCATCTTTTGTCTTCATTACAATTCCTACCATGCTCAAGCCCAGTGTTGCAACTGAAAACCATTGACCTCTACCTTCACCCAAATCAAGGTCTGGAATTCCCTACCAGATAATCCTTCTTAAATTAGGGACCTCTCCAAAGTGCTGAAGAGCAGTGGTGTCTCTCTGGAGACTAAGGTGCGTCTGATACAGGCCATAGTCTTTGCAATCACCTGTTATGCATCAGAGAGTTGGACAATGACCAAGGAGGATAGAAGGAGAACTGATGCCTTTGAGCTGTGGTGCTG